ATTAAATACTCATATAGAACAGAAAAACTTGTGTAAATCAAATACTACACAAATCCTACTCTAATGTGGCTACTTGCCATATTTATAAGTAGGAGCAGTCCATTATCACAGTAGTAAGGAAGAGCAAGAAGTACACTGATCCCTACTCTACAACAGATTTTGAAATTGCCCCCTGACAGTCAATATGTTAAAATGCAAAAAGATAAATAAAGCATTTTTTTTTTAAATTTGTAATATGAAGTGCTTTTTCATATATTACTATCAATTAAGTATTTATCAGGTCATTGATTGGTAGCTGCCACTTATTTATTATAAAGTAAGAGCTGTTACTAAAGTATAAAAGATGATGAAACCAGTATCAAAAGTAACAAATGCATTTATTACAAATATAAATTTACTGAGATCAGTAAAAATGGATTAGTGAGAGTTTAACTAGAGATTGGTGGACATAGATAAATAGTGAGGTTTTATTCACAGGTCAGTAGTCAGTGTAGACACATGGATGCAGACATCTATGTGTCTAGTCGAGATGTGTTCTTGCGAGTCATTCCCAGTAGAATTAACTGATAATATCATTTCTATAAGAATAAAGTGGATGCCAGGATAGACACAGGAAAAAAAGAAAAATATTATTGGTTCGATTTTTTTTTTTTTAATCAATTCACCCCAAGTAAGGTGATGATGCCATTAAAATACAAGAGGCTACTTGGAGTGAAAGGGAATGAAAAGACTTTTTTCTGGTGGAATTCTGATTGACTAGAGTGGTAGGGAGAAATGATCCTCTTTAGATAAAACTGTTTTAGAATCATTATTTAGTTTTGACACCATCAATGGGAATTTCCATTAGATATTTAATTTTTTTAACTCTCAATAGTGATGCTTGGTTAATCTTGATCCCCACAAAATTCCACTTGACTATCATGTCTCTATATAATTTGTGTAACAGTGTCGCATATGCATTAACAATAAAAAGCAAGACAAAAATACTGAATTTTTCTATAGACAGTAATTCCAAGATTCAAATGAGCATTTAAAAAAATGTATAATAGATGACATAAATACTAAAGAAAATCTTTAACACACACACATACATACATATATATATATATATATATATGAATAAAGAATAATATTGGGGAAAATATATGACAAAGTGAAAATGTTTTTGTCCTTCAGGACTTCATCAGACTAAATTAGTCATGTCAGTTTGACTTCACATGCGCACAAACAAGGGGTGCTGAGTATTTTAAAATATTTTTTATATCTAGCAGAATTCATTTAGAGTCTTTTCATTTTTCTTTCCATCACTTTCATTAATATGTATCCCACACTGTAATGACAGAAGATATATTCTAAAATCCCCAGCAACCTTTGTTCCTGCACACACATGTACATTTGCATGAACATAACAAATTTAGTCCAATGAAGTCCTGAAGGACAAAACACATCACAAGTAAATTTTTCCACTTTGTTATATATATATATATATATATATATATATATATATATATATATATGCAAAGCTCTTTTACAAATTGAGTTTTCTCAGTCACTGGCATGATTATTCAAAGAATGAAGATGCAAAATTCACCTTCCTCTCTTAGGGATAAAATATCCAACTGTTGATGAATCAGTCGGGTTTTGAACCCCAGCTTGAGACAATTGGATGTCTAGCAACACTGATGAGCTGTGATACAGCAAAACAGTCTGTCTGTGGATGACAATATATATATATATATATATATATATATATATATATATACAATTATTTATTTAAAAATATGATTCCATCACTACATAAGAAATGATATGTAGTGATGGAATCATATTTTTAAATAAATAATTGTATTTAGGCTGTACTTTTGTATTGAGCACTGTTTTTTTAAAAATAATAACAAAAATACTGAAGAACTTTGGATTATTTACCTAATGAGTTCTTTCCTATTTTCTGTATATTTTCACACATACACACACATACTCACACACACACACACACACACACACACACACACACATATATATATATATATATATATATATATATATATATATATATATTATCATCCCAAGCATTAAGGCACAAGAAGCTACTTGGAGAAAATGAGAATGAAAAGATTTTAGAAGGAAGTGGAAACCTTATCCTAAACAGAGAACAAGGGATAAAACTCTATTTCTGTTCAAAAGACCAAGGAGGAGTGTGAACCGGACGATGAGCAAACCTATCTACATCTTTTAAATATATATATATGTGTATTATGTCTATTGGCCTGCATATATAACAAATCTTGGTGAGGAAAAATGCATTCCGTGGCAGGGATCAAACTTGAAGCTCCTTTTGTAGGGGAAACCACCATTTGATACAGTGTGCTTTACTGCTCAGCCATGGAGAATAACACAAGAAGCATATCCTCTTCATGTCAGATTAAAAATAAATAAATTAATTCTTTAGAAATTGCTTTGTTTATGTTTTGTATATGCAAATATGAAGTTTTAGAGAAAATAATCTGGGTGAAGAGGATGTGCTCTTAAAAAGGAAAACTAGAACCTTTCTTTTTGCATCATTCTCTGTGGCTGAGTAATAAAGCACACTGGATAAAATGGTTGTTTCCCCTACAAAGGGGGATGCAGATTCAATCCCGCCAGGGAACACAGATTTCACAAATGCACACACCAAAAGATGTAATACACAGTTTAAGAAATAAAAATGGGGTATCTATTTCAAATATGGAGCATCCACTATAACAGTGTTTGAAGTAATGTATATATATATATATATATATATATATATATATATATATATATATATGGGAAGGTAAGCAAATGTGGCAAAAGGGAAAACCTTATAACAGCCAATTCTTATGCAGAACCAACTACACCTTTTGAACTGAATACAGAGAAATGATGCACTTGGCATGCCACAAGGTTTCCAAATGACCCACCACAAGTTTTGAATTAAGAATAGTTCTTCTCCTAGACAGGTTGACAACCAAGGGTATTTTTGCATAAGTGGATATAACAAACTCATCTGGAATCCAAACTTGAATCTCTAATTTCTCATTCTGGGGCACTATCTGTACACACACACACACACACACACACACATATATATATATATATATATATATATATATATATATATATATATATGTATTCTGTGTATTTAGGCAAAAAATGTTCTTTTAAGGTAAATACTATTAAAAACAACAGACATTTTGTGTTGATTAATTTTAATGATCGACTTTTCGAAATTACAAATTATCTTTCTCAGACAAGAAGAAAATTCCATCAAAAATTGTCCAAAAATCATTTTGGAAGGAAAGTACAAGAAATATAGACCGGATTTTTGACATTCTTAAGTCATCATGACTTCAGAATGTCAAAAGGTTGTACTTTTCTTTTATAATGACTATTTCTGACAAAATTTCTTCCTTATCTGAAAAGGATTATTGGCAATTTGAAAAACTCAATAATTAAAATTGAACAACACAAGTGTCTGTCATTTTTAATATATATATATATATATATATTAACGGTATATATGTCATTCTCTGCATGGGAGCTTCACGCACTATACATTTTATTTTCACAAAATGTAAAGAAAATGTCTCTCATTTTGATTTATTTCACATCTGTACATTTATTTTAAATTGGCTTATTTTTGCTCATTAATTTTAATATGGAAAATAAAAAAAATCTTTAAAAAAGGTAAAAATGCAACTGAAACAGAAAAATTGTACATTATTTACATTATTTACAATAGGCCCATGGATTAAAGTGTTGGTTTATGAATCTAGTGTCATTGTAAATGTGAGTTCAATCCTTGGGCTAGACAGTGTATAATTGGAATCAGTGGAAACAAGATAAACAATACTAAAATAAGAACTAGACAAGATATTCAAGTATTAAAATTAATTTACATTAATTACATTCAGACCATTGTCCTCATCTTTGTTGTTGTTATCACACCATTTAAGCTGTTGTGCCCTTTGGCCTTCATCAGCGATCTGGGTATCCGACAGAGAATTTCAAACTGAAATCCTTCATTTAATCTGTGGAGATTCCACTGTCTATGGATATCTACTAAATAATATAAATAATGATAACTCTTTATCCAAGAAATTCAGATAAAAAATTGTGCAGTTTATGAAGAAGGAACTGTGGATGATTAAACATATCAAAAGTGGTTTGCAGAATTTTTATTAGAGATTTATAGCTGAATGATGCTCTCCAATTTAGTAGATGAGTCAAGGTTGATAGCAATCAAGATGTTTCTTATGAATACTCAATGCTATATGACACAGAAGATAACCAACATTCTGAAAATCTTCAACACAAGCAGTGAAAATAATTTATAGTGATTGGTTATGGTAGTTGCTTTGATGTGTAACACCCATATAAGGTAAACAAGAATTCCTGAGCTAAACTTCTGTGTGTAATTCTGAAACAAAATGTAAGAAAATGTTTTTTTTAAAATAAATTCTGACAACTGGTGAAAAGGGAATACTTTACTACAATATAGAATGCAACAGATTAGGAAGCAAGTAAAATAAATCATCACTAATTGTACAAACAGCCAGTCTTCAACCAAGGAATTTAATTTAGGACTTGGGGTGAGTCCTCTATTTTGAGTTCCTTCTGAATAATCAAACAATTAATTCAAAGAAACACTACTCCCAATTAAACAAATTGAAAACAGTAATCAATAAAAGCATCTGGAAATAGAGTTAAATATTCTGATTGATTGATTTGTTTTTTTACAGTTTACCAAACTTTTGCAGTTTATTTAAAGCCAAAAAATATTTTTAGATTCTGAGAACTTTTTGGAGATAATGATTTTTACTGATACAAGTTTTACTAATTAACCCATAGTTGGAGGAAAGAGGTAGATTCATATTTTTCTCATGGGTATTTGAACATGTGGATATAATGGACTTGACTGGAGTTGGAACTCAACTCACTGATTTTCCAGTTCCAAGCTGTTCTCAACCTGCACATCAAAGCTTACAGCACCTAGTACTTCCAATGTGAACACCCATCTAGGTACTGATCTGGCTTCATGTTGCTTAACTTCAGTGATCGTATGAGAACTGGTGTTTCAATGTGATACAGCCATAATGCATTTAAATATTCTGTTAGGATAATGACTATTTCATTGGTAAAAATTATTTAAGAACTTACATCTCACCCACTGTATTTCACCAGACTGATTACCATTTATTTCAATCTTCACAGAATTCTCTTAATGGTCAAAAATTCAATTCCCTGGATGATAAAAAAATGTTCCTAGAACAGTTCTTTGTTGAAAAAGATAAAATGTTCTGGGAGAATGGAATTATGATGTTGTCTGAAAGATAACAGAAAATAATGCAACAAGTAATAAATATGTTTATTATTATTATCATTAGTGATTAAATAGCACATTTTTATGATTTTTATGTGTAGGAATAAGTAATTTTATTTTAGTTAAATATGTTTTTAGTAAATTTAGACATTTCTTTACAGCAACATTTGTGTATAAAAGTTTTATATCTAAACTAGTGATATACTTGTTTTTGATGTCTATATTTTTTTTAATTTATTTAAAAGATCACCAGATTTTTTTATATGCAAGAAGCTAATTGTACCAAGCAGTGGAGTTACAATTTTGGTTAGTGTGCCTGCTAGTTTTTGTGGGATGCTGCCTATTCTTGATATAATGGGTCTCATCTCAAGATAAAGAGAGCACCCTGTTTGGTCAAAATTCAGTCCTTTAGTGGTGAGACAGTGGCCTCTCCAGGGTGCATGCCTATATGATGGTATATGGAGGTTATGTGCTGCCCAGACTACATAGCCTCACTTTCAGCAACATCAACAAGATCCAAAGGAATACTAGTCATTATATTTTGGGTCCTGCTTGGCTGCAGGAGTTAATAATAATAATAATAATAATAATAATAATTATTATTATTATTGTTGTTATTATTAACAATAATAATAATATTATTAATAATAATTTTATCAATAATAATATGAAATAATAATACTATATGAAATAATAATCTCTCAGAAAGTAAGCTGAAGAATCTACCTGTGACATAAACAACTGCAGTTATTCAGATTATATCACTGAAGATGAGTCAAACAACATTAGGGCAGAGTTCATTGAAAACAACAGAGGTGAAATCACTGAAGCAAAAACCACATCATTCAAATACTCAGCAGAGTAACTTGCACACAAATGTCAGACAGAAACCTGCCCCCACCGCCAAATTAATATGACAAAGTCCAATAAACATATTGTACAAACATAATGCTGCATTACAAACAATGTTAACAGACAAACCACAGGGAAACATCACAGAAGTAAATAATATCATATATGCAACAGCTTTATCAACTTTTACTGAGAAGCTTGGGGACAAAACAAAGAAAAGATCAGACAAAAAGATCCAGCTTGGAAGGCAAAATTAAAGCAAGAAATAGAGGAAATCAGATGTGAATTATCGATGCCAGCTGAGATCACAAGGAACCCAAGTGTTTCAATGCACAAATGCGGTGTTTACTTGTTCCCCCACTAGAGCGAGATGTGACACAAGGTCAGTTTAATGTGAGGACCTGAGCGCATACACCCGGACAGGGACAAAAATTACCCTCAGCCCCCGCAACCGTTGCGCTAGCCTTGGTGCAAGCACCAATCCCTCCCTCTTGTGCAATGGGAGGGCATGGCCTCGGGCAGCTGTTCCCCAGGGCTGGTCACCTCTTCAGTATAATTTTCCTCAGTTGCCCCTCTGTCCTTTGACAGAAAAGCCCCTAAGCACACTCTGTCCAAGGACAGAGATGCAACTGAGAGATGATAAGCCTGCATTAAAATCCCTCCAAAGAGGAATTTATATGCAGGAAGATCAAGTGGAGATATAAAATTAAATTACTAAATGAAATTCTACCAGTCAAGGAAATACTAAAACAGAAACTGCAATTAAAGGTTCATGGAACAAGACAATATAAAAAGTGTTGAATGTTCTATTGACAAAATAAGATATTCCAAAAGGACCTTAAGAAAATAAAATGGGGAAATTGGAAGAGGAGCTATAGAAGTCAAAAAGCAACCATTTATTGAAAAAGTGCAAAAGCTTTGGGAGAATATTTGGAGCAGCCCAAACGATTATAACCCCAATGCAGAATGGATCCAATGAGAAGAAAGAATGATGAATAAAGCTCTACATGAATGGGAAAATATAACCAAGAATAATGTTAGGCAAGCTCTAACGAAATCCCCAAAATTGAAATGAGAAAGCACACAATTTTTCGCTCTATCATCTTTCATCAATCCATAAAATCCTTGCACAAACTTTAACAATGCTAATTAACAGTCCCAAAGAAGCCCCAGAATGGATCACTGAAAGTATTACATATCTCCTAACAAAAATGGGTGAAACAGATAATCCAAAAAATTATAGGCCAATAACATGCCTGTCCACCACATATAAATTGATCATGTCTGTCCTGACAAACTGTACTTACTCCTTCTTGATGAAAACAACATTCTTCCCTTAGAACAGAAGGGATGTCAGAGGCTCATATGGTTGCAAAAATCAACTACTGATAAACAAAATGATCATGGAAAATTGCAAGAAAAAAGGTAGAAATCTCAGCACAGCGTTACTGTAAAGCCTTTGATAGTGTGCCACACTCTTGAATCCTTAGGGCTTTGGAAATGTACAAAGTCTCCTCGGTGATAATTAATTTCCTTAAACATGGCATGGGAATGTGGAAAACAACATTATACCTAAATCACACCAAAGGCACTGTCACTTTCAACCATGTGAATATCTGTTTTGTCTGTCCTTAATCCCTCTTTATCATGAACTAAACAATAATAGCTATGGACACAAAGTAAGGAAGAAAGTATTTAATCACCTACTCTACATGGATGATCCCAAAATCTTTGCCAAAGACGACAATGGGATGAAGGGTCTCCTCAATACTGTAAAATGTTTCAGTGACGAAATAGGTATGAATTTCGGATTAGATAAATGAGCAAAATTAACATTCAAAAAAGGGAGAATTACAGAAACACACTAAATAGATTTAGATTTTGTCACAAAGATTAGGGAAGTGGAACAAGAAGAAGCCTATAGGTACCTAGGAATTAGCAAAAGAGATGGAATACAGCATACCCAAATGAAGGAGAGAGTAAGAAAAGAATACTACAGATGTGTGCACCTGGTATTGACTACTGAGTTGAATTCAAAGAACAGAATATCAGCCATAAACACCTTGGCTGTAACTATGGTGCAATAGTTTCAATATCCTTAACTGGACCATAACTGACATTAAGCGAATGGATACCAAAATGAGAAAGCTTCTCACTTGCCATGCATGCATCATCCTAAGGCTGATGATCATCTGTATGTGCCCAGATCTGAAGGAGGCAGAGGATTAGTTCAACTAGAACTGTCTTACAAAACTACAGCAATTGGCTTTCAAAGATGCCTGTAAACTACGGAAGACTGGATGATGATCTGTGTCAAAGAACATGAAAATTCAGTAATAAAGGAAGCCAACAAATTCAAAAGTGACTTTCAAGGGGGTGAATAAATGCAAATAAAATATAATACACCTACTGCAGTGGCAAAAACCTTAAAAAAGAAAGCAAAAACAAATGCAGTTGACCAAATACAGAAACAATGGCAAGATAAACCTCTTCACAGTCAATATTCTGCCTATATCAAGCAAGCTGATGTAGACAAACCACGTACCCACCAGTGTCTACATAATGCAGGGTTAAAAGCTGAATTCAAAGGTTTTGTTCTTGCTGTACAGGACCAATGCTTACTAACTAGAAGTTACCAAGCACATGTACTGAAAAATTATGTTAGCCTAAAATGCAGATTTTGTAATAAATATCCAGAAACAATTGATCTTCTTGTATCAGGTTGCACATTATTGGCACCCACTGAATATAAAACCTGGTATGACAGAGTGGGCCAATATCTACATTGGAAAAACTGCAAATTTTATGAAAAGGAAACTGCCAGAAATTGTTATGAACATCATCCAGACCCAGTTATAGAGAGAGGACCTGTAGCAATTTTAGGGGACTTTACAATACACACAGACAGAAGAATCAAAGCTAGTCACCCAGACATTGTGATCAGAGACTGCAAACAAAATGTGTCTTCTTATTGACATGGCAATCCCTGAAGACTGTAATGTATCTTTGAAGTTCTTCAAAGAACTATCAAAATATAAGGACCTTGAAATCGAAAATTCAAAAATGTGGCACATGAGGACATCTACAATTCTAGTTGCAACCCTTGGGTTGATTGAAAAAGGTTTCAATAGACTCATTCAAGGGATTACTGGTAGCCTATGCCTTAAAGAAATACAAAAACGTTATACTCACAAAGACAGCTCACACAAAGAGCTCTGTGTATGTAAAATGTGTGTGATCTTGTTTTTTTTTGGGGGGAGGGGTTCTTTTTACAAAAAATGGTCAGTGGAAAATGTCATGAAGTCATTTCTGAACTTAGGTCTCTAGTTGAGACCCAGAAGGGAGTGTGTATACAACAGAAATCCAAAGAAGAAGAACAAGAAGAACAAGAAATAATAATAATAATAATAATGATTCTTCTTCTTCTTCTTCTTCTTCTTCTTCTTCTTCTTCTTCTTCTTCCTCCTCCTCCTTGATTTCTGGTGTGTACACATTTCTTTCTGGGTCCCACTCAGAGACCTAAGGTTAGAAATGACATCATGAGAACAATTTTTTGTATTTCTTTAAGGCATGGGCTTCCAGGAATCCCTTCAATTAGTCTACTGGAATCTTTTACAACCAATCCGAGGGCTCCAACTACAACAGGGATTGTTGATGTTCCCATGTGCCACATTTTTGAGATTTCGATTTCAAGGTCCTTGTATTTTAATAGTTTTTTGAAGATCTTCAAAAATACATTGCAGTCTTCAGGGACTGCCATATCAATATGATTACTATTATTATTATTATTATTATTATTATTATTATTATTATTATTATTATTTCTGAGTAGTATGGTATCATATTTCAATAGTTTTCTATCACAACTCCTACATCATTTTATGATAGCAAGCAATATGATAGTAACATATT